TAGAAGAGTTAGATGACTTCTTTTATCTCTAAAAAAACTCAATTTATTTATTTTTTACTTTTTAATTTTTAAATTGAAACATCAATTGTTTATGTCCATTTATTTTTTACTTTTTAATTTTTAAATTGAAACATCAATTGTTTATGTCCATAAAACAAAAATGATAAACACATATCCAAAAGTTACACATTTTTTTTAAATTTTTTTTTAATATGTAGGATATTTACAAATAGAAAATGTTTGACACCTCAATTTTTTTTTTCCGTAATCTAACTTATAATGATGTAATCATAAGTGTCAATTTTTATGCAAATATGAGAAGAGAATTAATTAAATTATATATTTCAACCAACCACATACTCAAACTTTGACTATTTTAAGATGTTATTTTACTAATAATTCCAATTAAGAGAATCTTCTACCTTAATGTATTTTTTATCTAATTATAATTTGATAAAAATTTTAAAATATGAAATGTTGAAAATTATTGTTTTTTCCATCAAAATTGGTGAAAAGAAAAAAAAAATTGGGATAAGCATGGAATTCTTTTTAAAATTGACAAAAAATTAATGAAAACTTTAAAGTAATTCATATAAAATCAAAAAAATTATTCAAATTTAAAATTAAATTAGTTTTAAAAAAATTAAAAGAAAATTATGAAAGTTTGAAAATATTTTGAAACCTTCTTATTATTAAAGACTTGAAATTCATGTGTGTATTATATTCATATTCTATTTTTAGTTATGAAATTGAAATCAAAAGAAATATAACTCATAATTTTTGGATTAATAATAGAAACATCATATTAATTATTGTTAAATATCACTTCACTTCACATTTAATAATAAAATTATATATTTATCTTAATTATAACTTTTAAATTTGTATATTTTCATAACAAGAAAAGGTATGTCATAACTCATTTAATCAGATTTAACTCTTTTTTTAATACAAATTATCAAAATTGCACTAATTAGACTGATACATATATTTATTAATTTTTTTAAACTAATAATTTAAAAAATTATAAACATAAAAATTCACTAATAAATTTTATGAATACTACAAGATAAAATATTAAATTATTTTAAGATAATTATAATATATTTTTTTTAATTTATAAAATTCCGTGCATCACTAATTAACTTTTTAAATGGATAGCCTATTGACCCCCTTCATCCACTTTACATTCGGATTCCGTAATTTCAATACCTCCTCGCATGTTACGTGAATTTAGGCCATGTTTGTTTGGGCGGACTGGATTAGCATTCCCATGACTAATAGTCCTAGGACTACGAATCCGTTAGATTATGTATCCTATTTTAACTAATAGTCAAGTTTAAAATAATTAGTCTCTACTTCAATTGTTTAACCAAGCATCGGATTAATAATTTTATTGGACTATTAGTCCAATCCCAAGCTTATGTCTACCCAAACAAACATGGCCTTAGTGTTCATGAATTTATCATTGTCCTTCATTCATTCACTTAGGCTCCGTTTGGCAAGAGTTAAATGTGATTTTTTTAGTTATTTTAGTCATAAAAAACAAAATAGACTATTTTAGCCACAAAAAATAAAATATCACATCAAACCCATAATCATTACATTCTTTTCTCATAAAAAAAGTCAAAAAGGTCAAAAAGCCCTTCCCAAACCAAACTTTTGAGCCCAGACTCAAATAGCCAAAAAAGCCAAAAAGTCAAAAAGCCAACCTACTTCCCAAACAGAGGCTAAAGAGCCAAAAGAGCCCAAATGAGCTCTTCCCAAACGACACCTTAATATGTTGGGAAATATGAAGATGTGTACCGTATGTGTTTTATAATTAAAAAATAATAGAATTTTAATTTTTTAAATTATAGTTAAAAAAAATCATAATTAAATATAACAGAGACATAATTAAAGAATTTATGAGTTATAACAAATGAAGAAAATTGATCATAATTGAAAAAAGAAATAACATAACTACAAATATATACAAAACACTTTTTTTTTAAAACAGTATATGTTAGAACTTTCTGTTGATTAATCATTGTTCATACATATTAATAGTAGAGCTGGCATAGGGTTATTCGGCCCACAAAAACTACCCAATCCAAATCGCCAATACTTATTTGGGTGGTTTCGCAAAATTGTTAGAGTCGGATGCAGATTAAGATTTTTTTGTTTTGCGGGTAGCGGGTAGGTCACGAGTTTTACTCGCACCCGCACTTACCCGCCCGCATCTGTATACAAAATTTTTAAATTTTTTTACAAATTTGGACTATCAGATTTTCTTGTAAGTTTTGTAAGTGTGTAACCCTAATCTTCTCTTCTTTGACTCACTTTAATCTGATTGTCAAACATGTAGGCTTTAACATTATAATATTATAATAATATCACACATTACCTTGTTTGAAATATTTATTACTCAATTGATTTTTTTTTTATTTTTTACTAATCTAATTATGCGAAGTTTTTTTTTTCTATGTTAGTTTTTATTTAATTTTCATTCTAATTTTTTATAATTCAATTTTAATGGAGGATAGTGTTGAGCAATCAAAAAATTTTAAAAATGAGAAAAACAAGCTAAAAAATAAATTAAAAAAAAAAATTCAATTCATAAATTGTCCGTAATCGCTCGCACATTCATAAACCCTATTTACAACCCGCATTGCAGATGATTGTAGATTCATTTTTTTCCAACTACAAACATATAGATGGGTTCAAATCATAAATCTAATTGTCAAAAATCAATCCACGAGCTCTTAAATTAACGGCTGATCAAAAAAAAAAAAACTCTTAAATTAACGGGGTGTTCGTCATTTTTTCCCGCCACATAATAAAAAGAAAATGTTGATGACCTGTCATAATTGTATTCAAACTCAAAACAAGGACATCAAAGCGGTCCTCCTTGCTCAAATAATGCATCTAAGAGCATCTCGGGCTTTGTTTTTAGGAATATGATTGAGTTAAAATAATTCAGAAAAAATTAGTTAATAAGATAAAATATCTCATTTTATTTATAATTATTTTATTTTTTCTCTTTTAATTATCAAATCAATTATAAAAAAAATTAACCAACTTTCTAAATACAACTTTTTAAAATCAAATTAAAATAATCAAAAAAGTTAAATAATCAACTACAATAGTTAATTTTTCAAATAAGACCTCAATTAAATTATAGCATTGTTCAATTATTTATAAAGCGAACAAATTAAGGGTTTTGGATGTGGGTTGGTTTTTTGATTTTTTAAATTTTTTTGCTATTTTTGCCTGAGATTAAAAATTTTCGTTTGTGATAGACTTTTTAGTTTTTTTGACTTTTGTAAACAAAAATAAAATGATCATAATTTGGATGTGATATTTTATTGTATTGACTTTTTAGCCTGTTTTATTTTTTGTTAATTAAAATAGTTAAAAAAACCTCCCAACTCTTTATGCCAAAGGAGTGCTAGATATCATTGAAATTAGATCATAAAAATTAGCAATATATATATATATATATAAAGTAAAAAAATATTAAAAAATGAAACTTCTATTTTGTTCTCTTTTTTTTTATACATATTTTCAATCCTAAACATTTCAATTTTTTTCAGGGCATATTTTATTTTAGTTTTTAAAGAAAAAACACAAAAAAAATCACTTTCCAAACAAAACTTGATCTATTCACCCAAAGAGGAGACGCCACGTGGCAAGATATGTGTGGAATGGTGAACAGCTCAGAATTCTCTTCTCTCATACTCGATGACTACTCTTTTTTTTTTCTTTTTTTATTTATTTATTAAACTATGACAAGTAAAGTTAAAAATTAAGGGATAATTTGAGAAGTTGGTTAAAATTTGGATTTTTGGTTTTTTTATTATTTTTTTGTGTATAAAAAATATAAGAGGTGATGTGATTTAAAATGAATTAAAAATTAAAAATTAACTTTTATCTACTTCCCAAATTGCCCCTAATTTTTGAACTTTTTAAAATAATATATATAAAAAAATTAAAAAATTAATATGATTAAAAAAAATTAAAAAATTAATATGATTAAAAAAAATAAAGAAATTAACTTTTAACGAACCGGTAAAAATACGCCTACTACTACTTAACACACTTTTGGCCCTTTTGGAAAATTAGTAAAAAGTTAATGTTTTAGTTTTTTTTTTTAAATCACCTTATCTTTTTATTTTTTTATACATAAAAAGTCAAAAAAATTAAAAAATTAATTTTTTTTATGAATTTTCTATAACACCACTTCACACATGAAAGCTTAAATCGGTAGAGAAGTGCTAACGGGACAGTACCCAATCTCTAAAACAAAACCGACGGTATCAACCCCACTTGCACAATTACAAATTACTATGCCTCCGTTTGGAAGTGGGTTAGTTTTTTAACTTTTTAATTATTTTAGTCTGAGCTTAAAAAGTCTGATTTGAAAAGAATTTTTTGACTTTTTAACTTTTTTGATTTTTTTTATGAGAGAAGAGTGTAATGATTATAAATTAGATTTGATGTTTTGTTTTTTGTGATTAAAATAACTTATTTTATTTTTTTGTAACTATTTTAACCCCTAACCCACCAAACCTAACTTCCGAAACTATGCTTATGTATCTTTTATCTTTCTTAATTATTTAATCGCAATCACAATATACTCGTCTGATACATCAAACATACATTTTTGATTGATCCAAAGCACTCTATCACTAAGGGTTGGTTTGGGATGTCCTAAAAAAGTGTACTTTTTAACTTATTGGTGGGTTTGGGTTGGATTTGATGTGATGTGTTAGAGAGGTAATGTGATTTAAATAAGATGATGTCACTTAAATAAGATAGTGACTTTTTAACTTTTTAACTTATTTAGTACATGCCAAACTAGTCCTAAATTTCTGACTAATCATAAATTATTATATTTTTATATTTTTAATTATTCAATACAAAATGATGAACTCCAAAACAATTACAAATCAGCTGTCATGTTAACAGTTTTGCGCGCGTGTCCAGAACACCGTACACCTTAAAATTACAAGACACCCCTAAAAAGATCTGGTACTTCCGGTTAAAGTCCAACTAAACACTCTCTCTGTTTTTGAGCTGTAGAAGAATTTCATGACATTTTGCTGAGGGAAAGAAGGAGACCCACCTCTCTTTCTCTCTCCAAAGGACTTTATTTTCTCTCTCCTCCTTTCTTGGTATGTCAGCCGATGAACTCTTCCTCTCTTTGTCTTCACATTTCTAATCTTTTGATTTATATATGTGTGTGTGTGCATGAATGTATTTAACTTTTTGTATCTGTTGTAATTAGACTTAGAATTTGGTTGTTTCCAGATCTGTTCTTTCTTTTGGGTATTCGGATCTTGGATGAATTGATGCTGAATTTGTTTTTTATTTTTATTTTTAACGTTCTGTTTGTTTACTGAGAAAATTGAGGAAAATTAGGAGGTTAGCGTGTTCTACATTGAATAGATTTGTCAGATTGGGCTGATAAACTAAGCCATAGCTTAATTCTACTTGTGTTTTGAAAGGGTTAAATTTTCATTTTGCGGACTCCGAAAAGTAGTTTTTCTTGTCCTCTTTTTCTCATCAAACAAACGGCAAGTGTTTTCTTTTTTAGTTTCTTTTCCACTTCCATTATTTTTGGCTTTTTTGGATTGTATACAATTACTTATATGTTTGGGGGTTCCACTTTATGGGCAAGACTTTAATATCATCTAACTACTTTGGTGTTTGGGGATGGAAAAAAATATATATATATATATATCTACACACATACATCAGTTATGAGATGATTTTCTCAGAAGCAACTAGGTCTGGCTAATTGGAAACTAGATGTGGTTGAAAATGGGTCCTGTTTTGTATGGTTCGGTAATGTTATTGGCTCTCTTGACTGTGCTTTTGTAAATGGGTCCTGTTCAAAATGGGTCCTGTTTAAGGTCTTTATTATAACTTGAGCATGCTGATACTATTCTCCAAGGTTTAAATGCCTATGCAAACTTTGATCTTTCTATTGTGAATTTTGGATTTGATCAGTTGATGGGTAATTTTAATTGTTTAAGTCTTTTGCTATGGATCTCTTGACTGTGCTTTTGTAACAAAAAAATAAAATAAAATAAAACTCGTAAATAATTCAGATTTATTTTTTGTGCTCTAGGAAATTTAGTCCAATGAGTTGTGTGAAGTGACCAACTGGGTTTTGAGCAGTCGTGATCCAGGAAATTTATTTTTTGTTTTCGTTTTTTCATAGCTTGTTGCTCCACAACATTAAGACAGACCAGAAGGCAGCTGTCATGTTGATAGCCTCTTCTACTGGCGGTGAGGTCTTGTGTCTGCTTCTTCATGAAATGCAGAAAGAGTTTATTTATATTTTACAGTGCGATTTTTTTTTGGCATGATTATTTGTTTTTAAATGTTATATTGAGATAGGACGAGATTCATTTTCGTTGCTGTCTATCATCATGCAAATTTGTTGTACGCTTGCTTTTGTTCAACTACTATGTGTATTATATCCTGTCTAGGTATAAGCACGAGAAACTGAGAATCCATTCTGTAGAGATTGTTCTTATATGAAGTCTGTAATTATGCTGCTCATTGATAAAATAAAACTAAATATAAAATTTGTTCTTTGAAGTCTGCAGTTATAGGTTGAACTCAACAGCCGGATTGTGGAAGCACTCACCAGTCACCATGTTTCGTCTCTGGAATCACGGTCAGGAGAATGATAAGCCGCAGGCCGAGGATAAGGTAATGTGATGTTGGAAGCTGTGGAAGCTGAGGGCACACAACTAGTAAAATGAGGCCCGTGATATGTTGTTCCCAAATCTCCATGGCCCTATCCCAAAACACTCATAGTTATTGAATATGTCTCGAGATTCTCACAAGATCTATTGGTTATGAGTATCTTGGGACAGAGAGATTTGGGGACAAAGGATCTTTGGCCATAAATTGATTTCACTATGAATACTTATTAGGTTGAGGCAATTCCCTTGCAATGTAGTGTAATTCACCATTGTTGGATTTTAAATTAGGCAAATGCTAACAAGTGGGCACTGTTTAATATTGAGAAGTGTGTTAAAAAAATTTAAAATAAGTGAAAAGTGTTATGAAATTAATAAAAAGTGTCTTGGATTCTACTTTTTTGTCTTTATCTTGTGCCCTTGGGGCACTTGTCAGCAGGACTCTTTGACTTATTAGATACATGTGTTGATACCTTTTCTTCTAATTCTCATATTCCTTGGAAAATTTTATATAGAATGAATTGCACGTGTTGATTTTTTCGGAGTGCTATGTCGATGCCTTCCTTCAAAAGCTTCACCTTTCACTCACTTGGGATGGGTTACTCAAATCTTTTTTCTACTAGTTTTGAACACAGTTTTGCTTAAAGGCTTAATTGGTGACATGTCTACATAAGAATACTTCTCAAATTACTGCCTAATCTTTGCTATTTTAGCGGATAAGATCCAGTTCTGATAGCATTCATATTTCATACTAATTCTGGCAAATCTTATGCTGAATACAGGTTAATGAGCTCAAGGCTGCTCTTGGACCACTATCAGACCGTGACTTAAAGTATTGCACTGATGCATGCTTGAAGAGGTATTTGGATGCCCGGAACTGGAATGTGGATAAATCAAAGAAAATGTTGGAAGAGACACTGAAGTGGAGATCAACCTATACACCTGAGGAAATCCGTTGGGTTAGTCCTGGCAAAGTTTCCTCATTGTTGATTTTTTTTGCAAAAGTTAAAGATTACTATTCCAAATTATTGTTCATATTGTATCAAAATTATTGAAGATAGTCAGTGTCCCAAAAAAATAAAATAAAATTCTGTATGGTATATCAAAAGATTGGTGGTATTATATGAAGTGATGGAATATGTGAAGTGAAGAGTAGTGAATGAGGTTTATTATTAGAAGGGTTTTTGAATGTGTGAATATTATGCATACATGAGGGTCGTCATCATGCTCATCATCAATAATTATCATTCTTTTGTTTCATTTATTTGTAATTATAGTTTGATTATTCACCTGTTATGGACATTCGCTGGTGTCAGTCCTATTGATCAAGAGGGAGGATACAGAGAGAGTTACAGAACTTACCTTTGGCATAATATGCACAACGTGGTTGCTGTCAATGTTGAAGTTGTGTTCTCATGCTAGGCAGCCTGAGTATTTTACCACTACAAGCAATGGCCCGTGTTGTTCGAATGTTATGTTGGATATAAATTTTTTATTACCATAGGTGTCCTAGTTTTACCTGTCTAGCCCTCTTCCTGATCTAACATATTTTAATTCGTTCTGTCATATTATCATACTTCTGTGTATGTTTACTTCCTTGAGGTTGGTTTGTAAAACTTGAGCTGACCATGTATATCCATATCTTTTGTCAGCATGAAGTTGCGGTAGAAGGTGAGACTGGAAAATTATTTAGAGCAAATTTTCATGACCGCCATGGAAGGACTGTTCTGTTAATGAGACCAGGAATGCAGGTAATGCACTCGTATTATAGTCACTAGAGATGTAGAATCCTTTAGCTTTGGTCTATGTTACATGGACTCAGGTGCGGGTCCAAGCATAAGATCTTCCTAAACCTAAATTTTAGGATATTACGATATGCATCCAAAAGTTGGGTATTGCGGAGACACGTCTTAAACACTTACATATTGTATAATATTTTTAGATATGATGTTGCAACTTATTTAGAAATGTACTTCATACTAAAATGGTATTTAGAGAAAAAATGGAATTTATATCTCTCATGAAATGTTTCTTTACTCGCAAATATGAGCTTCTTCATTGTCAAACACCATATAAATTAGAGGATCAAGTGTTTTAATTGTGTACAGACGTCAAACTCATATTCTACATACTTACCCTTGCCATATCTGGTGCACACAGGTACACCGGGAAAGTAGAAAAGTCCATGTAACATAGGATTTGGGTGTCTTTAATATTCATGCTGCATTTTATCTTGCAGAATACAACATCAATAGACAATCAGATGCGACATCTAGTGTATCTCATGGAGAATGCCATCCTTAATCTTCCAGAAGGTCAAGAACAAATGGCATGGTTGATAGATTTCACCGGATGGTCTCTAAGCACCAGTGTGCCTATCAAATCTGCTCGAGAAACTATAAATATTCTGCAGAACCACTACCCTGAGAGGCTAGCTGTAGCATTTCTCTACAGTCCACCAAGAATATTTGAAGCATTCTGGAAGGTTTGTTTATGTACCTCTCTCATTCTTTTGTAGATCCTTGCCCCTGCCTCCAATCCTGCGTCGTGCAACTGTTCTCAAATCTCTTATTTTAAGAAGATCCCACTTTGGAAAAAGTACCATTGTCTTGACTTTGAATCTATATGTTAATGTCCTCCTTTTTGAATAGCTTATGACAATTCTCATTTAATTTCATTTTATTGCCCTTGTAAATGCTTTAAACAAACCCCTCAAAAACAGTATTATAGTTTTTTGCTAAGACATAATCAAAATCGTTAGATAGGAATATGAAGGTGGCTTGATTGTGTTGGCAATAACTTGTGCTTTTGCTAATGAGTGTGTTTGTGAATTGGTGGAAATACCATGATTTCATTCCCGTGGATTAACTCTTGTTGATTTTGTTGGCACAGATTGTTAAATATTTCTTGGATACCAAAACATTCGAGAAGGTGAAATTTGTGTACCCAATGAACAAAGATAGTGTTGAACTAATGAGGTCATATTTTGATGTGGATAATCTTCCAACTGAGTTTGGTGGAAAGGCCTCGCTAGAGTATGACCATGAGGAGTTTTCAAAGTTGATGACCAAAGATGATGAGAAAACTGCAACATTCTGGGGTTTCAGTGATGATAAGCACAGACACGTTAATGGTGGCTACTCTGGAGCAGAGGTGGTTCCCGAGCCTACACCCCTTGCACCGCCAGCCAGCTAAACCTGACGCTGTAGAAGTGTAACGAGTTCAAAGTACTCGTGTTACTCAAAACTAACAAGTAACTGCGGGCACAAGTTTTCACTGATGAAAACAGATAATTAAGCTGACTTTATAATTTCTTCCATTAGTACCTTCTTATTTTACTCTTTTTTTTTTGGGTTACTTAATGACGATACATTGCAATGGTAGTTTAAACTCATGTATTAAATAGATGATGGATCTGTTATCTGTGTTTGTGTGTGTACACAATGATCAGATTGGAGATCGGATAGTAAGATGTCCACTATATTTATCTGAAGAACATAGTGTGTTTGTGCATGTGTGCACTGAGAGCTGCCTGGTGATCCCTAGGATGCAGCACGTCTAGTTGTTAACTACTAGTTGGCAAGGGTTTAGAGGAATGTGGTTAAAGGGTTTCGGTGATCAGGTGATTTGGTTGGCCAGGCTCAACAAAAATTTTGTATCCTTGCCATGATTGGAAGGAATCTTTGAACCAATTGTTTTTTCTGCCATGATTGGAAGGAATCTTTGAACCAATTATTTTTTCTGCCCTGGTTTATATTGATGATATCCTCTTCATTCTCTCTGAGAAAAAGATGAAAATTGGCAAATCTACTACTGATTTTTTGGGAATACATATTTCACAAGACCAACAGAGTCCTCAGCCAAAGCTGAGGAAGCAGTAGAGATTGACAGAAATGGGTCGGATTGAACACTTGGTTGAGTGACAAAAGAAAAGTTGCTTGGACAATTGAAATGCAGACATGTTAGTATTTAAGAAATTTGTTTTAAGTTTCAGGTAGTCCCTTACGCCCGGTAACGACTATAGTGCGAGAAACTGGTTCTGAGAAACTGGTTTTGAGGTACCATACATGAAAATTCTGAGAAACTGGTTTTGAGGTACCATACATGAAAATAAATATCAGCCATTAGATGTACTCTTTGATCTGGTGCATCCATTCAAAACTTTTTGTAACCGGTTACAACCGGTAAAAAATTAAACACACTTACCACTCGCGAAGAAAGGCGACGAAATTAGTTAAAGGAAAATGAGTGAGAGCACTAATTAGTGCTATCATTAATGATGTGGCAGTGGGTCTCACCAGAAATGATTTGATGTTTTGGCATTGGTGTTGTATTTTTTTTTTATTTTGTTGAGTGCCATGTCATTAGTGGTCTTTTTAGAGCTCCAAAATTAGTGGTCTCTATCATTGTTGTTAATTAAAATTCACAAAGATTTCGTTTGTTTTCAGAGATAGAATGAAGGGGATTCATAGTGAAGGGATTAATAGTGAGGGTATTAAATAAAATTATATTTATTTTGATGATAGTTGTTAGTGTAAGAATTGTTAAATTATTTTTATATAAAATAATAAAATAAATAAAAAAATAAACATTAATATTTAAAAAAAAATTTCAATATATAAAAAATATAAAATATAAAAAAATTTCTAATCTCCTAACTATTTTTCTAATACCACCTCCACCTTCTATATCCCAATCCCCCTTCCAACTTCTATCTATATCCCCTCCTCCATCCTAATCCATTCCCCAACTCAACTCAACAAATTAACACAACACTAAATAATCTCACCTCCATCCTAATCTCTTCCCATCCATTACACCCCAAAACAGACAGGGCCAAAGCGTGGTAATTATGATGTTTCTACCTTTTATTTCGGAAAAAAAACAATTACACCTATTGAAGTTTGTTTTTAATATAAATATTTTTGTTATGTATTGAAAATTACATCTCTTTCCTTATGGTTTACACTTTTATCACAGTTCAATTTTTCTGTTAGTCAATCGTTAAATCAACTAACAGAAAAAATTAATATAAGAAATTAATTTTTTAATATGGCTATTTTATCGTTGTTTGCATATTTAAAATTGACAAATAATTTATTGTTTAAGAAAATTTGATAGGCCCCAATCGTAGTATTTGGTTATGACCTATTATGGTGTTAGTTATAACTATTGATTATAACATTATTTTAACTATGATTCAAAAGGTATTTGGTTATTCCTTATCCAGTGTTTGGTTATAATTTTTTTAAATTATGATTAAAAAGGATCTAATTATAATATTTGTAATAATTAACACCATAAAAATTTGTGTACCATAGCATTACCTAAATGTTTTATAGTATAATAATATATGTATAGAATAAATTTTTATAATTTCCTGCAGATTTTCTTTACTTATCTAGTAATTTTTTTAAATTTTTTTTTTTTAATAAGAGTAAAATGGGCATTTAAAAAAAATTAATTTATTATATTAGTTTTTTCCATTAGTTGGGTTAACAATTGATTAAGGGAAAGAATTATAATTGAAGTTTGAACCTTAGGGAGGGGAATGTAATTTTTAAAACGTAAGGGGGATACTTGTATTAAAGACAAACTTCAAAGGGTGTCAGTGTAATTTACCCTTTTATTTAAGCATGGATAAGTTAATTTATAGGATAAATTACAAATACACTCCCTAAGGTTTGCTTAAAGTACAGATTGCTTTCTGTGGTTTGAAAAATTACAAATAGCCCATTGTTAGAATTTTTTATTTAATTGAATTAACTTAAAAAATGAAATTCATAAAATTATCTAAATTATTAATTAAAACATATTTCTAACATCATTAAAAACTGTTAATTGACTTGATGATTTATTAATAAAAGGAGCAATTTATTATGGAATTAAAAACCTCAGGAGTGGAATGTAATTTTTAAAACCACAAAGAACGATTGGTATTTTAATTAAATCTCAAGGGATACATTTATAATTTATCCTAGTTTATAATACTTTTATTTTTTTTGAAAAAAAAAAAAACGTGGTAATTGATTCAAAAAATCAACCATTGCCCTTTCAATTAATTATGTGACATCTTCCAAATTAACTTCAATTTAGGCCTATTTTGATAATTATTAAAAAAAAGAGTCAATTTATTAATTTATTTAGGTTATATTATTCCTCTATTTTTTCACATATTTTTTTTTAAAAAAAGCCAAAATATTAATTTTTTTCCTACTTATCAAAATAGGCCTTAATCAAAATCAAAATTTATTTTACCTCCCTGTGTTATCATATAATAGTACTTTATTTCCTATCTTTTAAAAATAATTATATACCTCTCATATGATTTTTGACTAAAATACAATATTAACTCCATTAATATTAATAATAATAAATAATTATATCATTACTACTCAATTAGATTCTATTTATTATTTCATCAGATTTATCATCGTCCCAAAAAAGTTGAAAATTACTCGTTGAGGTTCCACTTACTATTTCACTAAACTCCACTTATTACTCAGTTTTTGTTTCACTTACTACTCAATGAGCTTCCACTTGATATGTCACTATACTATACTTACTACTCAATGAATTTTCACTTACTATTCCATTAGACTTTACTTACTGCTCAATGAGATTTCACTTACTATTTTATTACACTTCACTTACTACTCAATTTTTAGTTTCACTTACTACTTCAATAGCCTCCATTATCTACTCAATTTTGGTTTTACTTACTACTCAATAAGTTTCCACTTACTATTTTATTACAGTTCACTTACTACTCAATTAGACTCTATTTACCACTAAATTAAACTTTGCTTACTACTTAATAAGACTCCACTTACTATTCGTTAATTATTTACTTACTACTCCATCAAACTTGACTTACTATCTAATTAAACACTACTTATTACTCAATGAGATTCAACTTACTACACAATCAAACTCCACTTCACTTCTACTTAAAAAGACATCCTTAATTGGATTTGATTTACTACTCTTAATCCCACTTACTACTCATTTAAATCCCACTTAGTTGTATCGTATTAAATCTCAGTTACTATTCAACGAGAGACTTCACTTACTAGTTGTAGGGACATAATTTTTGAATGACAATACGTGACCGAGGTGTCACTGAAGTGTCAACCGAGGTGCCACGTGTCCTGGTCATGATGCCTTATCTGCGAAGATACCGGAATCTGGGATAAGTGGATAAGGGACACGAGTCCTAAAATGAGAGATGATTTCAGTTTGGGTAAAGATAAGACTCTTAGGGAGTTTATCCCTGTAGCAACCCAGACTTTTAATTATTCTGTAAAATTTATACTAATATTATTTAATCACAGTAAGGAAAATATATAATTTATTATATATTATTATGTGTAATTTTGTAAAATAATACAATTATTAAAAGTTTAAGGGTCAAAATATAAATAAGAATAATAATAGTGAGAATAATAATAATAATGGATGTGGTAGTAAAATAAATAATTAATTTTTTATTAGCATATGATAAAGTGTAATTTAATTAAGAATTCATTTATTTATGTAATTATATTAAAAACTTAAGTTAAAGTGTAATTATCTTAAATATCTATTAAAAATAAGAATAAATCTTTATAATTTATTATCGAATCTGTTGGAGGATTCTGGACACGTATGTGCCTAATCTCCCTATAAATAGGAAGACGTTTCATCCAGAGGAAAAAGAAAGAAGACAGAAAAGGAAATGAAAGGAAAGAAAAGGGAAGAAAGAGAGAAAGGAGAGAAAGAATGGAAAAATAATAGAAGTTTTGATAAAGGAGAGAAAGAGTGAGATATTAAAGTTAAGGTGAGTTATATTATACCTTGTGTAACTATAATATATTTTACGTATGTTTTAACTTACCATAGTTTATTTTATACAAGTTATGTTTTATAAATTATTATAAACTATATTAATATTTCAGTTATGTGGATTACTTTCTGAACCCTATTTGCTAAAGTGAAACCCATGGATATGTTTGTTTATATTTTAAAGAATATTTGACTATAACCTTATAAACAATTATGTTTTGTATGTACCATCATGAGAGTCCCACGCCTTGGGGGACTTAAATAACCATTGACCTCTGTTCCCTATAAATAGGAAGACGTTTCATCCAGAGGAAAAAGAAAGAAGACAGAAAAGGAAATGAAAGGAAAGAAAAGGGAAGAAAGAGAGAAAGGAGAGAAAGAATGGAAAAATAATGGAAGTTTTGATAGTGGAAAGAAAGAGTGAGATATTAAAGTTAAGGTGAGTTATATTATACCTTGTGTAACTATAATATATTTTACGTATGTTTTAACTTACCATAGTTTATTTTATACAAGTTATATTTTATAAATTATTATAAACTATATTAATATTTCAGTTATGTGGATTACTTTCTGAACCCTATTTACTAAAGTGAAACCCATTGATATGTTTGTTTATATTTTAAAGAATATTTGACTATAACCTTATAAACAATTATGTTTTGTATGTACCATCACGAGAGTCCCACGCCTTGGGGGACTTAAATAACCATTGACCTCTGTTTGGTCATTTTGTGACCCTCTGTCTGTCATGGATCCATTGACCTCTATTCTGTGCAGAGTAAAGTGCTGTGCGGAGATAAGTGCTACACTGTTGTGGGAGTCACCTCTATAATCCGTACGAGCCACCTCTTGAACCCGTACCTCTGTTCTGACTGTCACTCATGTGACCTCTGTTCTGTTCTGTTCTGTACCGTGGTTATGATTATTTATTTACATAATTTTTGTATTTCAGTTTCTGCTACTTAAATGATTTATTTACCAAACTGAGTTATGTAAATGTTTTGGCCTAACTAACTATCTATGGTTATTTCATGTCCCTTATACTCTTGGTATAATATTTCTTACTCTGCCATATGCTTATAGCTGTTTACCAATTTTCAGGAAACAGTGCAATTCAGAAATAGTTTTTAGAAAATCTTAAACGCAGGGCTGCGGAATAGACACACATAGCACTTTTATGATATTTTTATATGTAAATATCGGCCTTTTTGGTCAATTTATTTTGTAATAAAAATAGAAGTTCCAATAATTATTTTGGTACCCTCATTTAAATATTATTTCTGCTTGCGTTTATTAATTTATTTAAGAATTGGCCGGAGGTAACCTCAGTTACTGGTCATCACTATGCTTAACCCTTTGGTACGGGGAGCAGGCCGTGACAATCTCAATCCTACTAGGAGTCCAAGATTAGCAGTAATCCTAAGTCTATTGAAGCTAGGCTTATATTGGGACTAGGTTTGTGTTTGCTATATAAGAGAGGCACTCTCATGGGTCTAAGGTCTGCTTTTTATGCTTTGAATAGTAAGTTAAGCACTTGTGCTATCTTTGAGAGATAACTGACTTGATCGTTGGAGTACCCCCGGGTAGACGAACCACCGCTAGAATCTCTTCTTTTTGTTAACAGGTTGTTCGGGTTTAATCTATTTTGCCAGTGCTCTTCAACTAAGTACTAGTTTGGCAGTATGGTCGAAAATTGACACCCACACTAGTCAATCATATTTTACTTACTATTCAATTAAATATGACTTACTACTCAATTGGACTTGACTTACTACTTAATTAAATCTCACTTACTACAGACTTTACTTACTACTCAATCATATTCCACTTACTACTTAATCAAATCTCACTTACTGCTCAATAAGCTTCCATTTACTATTTTACTATACTTCACTTATTACTCAATGAGTTTTTACTTACTACTTCACTAGACTCTATTTACTACTCATTGAGTTTCTACTTACTATTTTATTACACTTCACTTAATACTCAATTTTGGTCGTGACAATACTTCACTTATTACTCAATGAGCTTTTACTTACTATTTCTACTAACGATATTCTCTTGATTGCCAATGTTGTACTTACCAGTGTCAATATCATCATCATCATCCAACTATTGTCTTCCATCTGTGGCAAGTATAATAAAATTAATTAAATCAAACCAAATGATAAATGATATTACAATTAGTTAATGAGACTCCACTTATCATTAGACTTTATTTACTACCCAATTAAATTGTAATTATTACTTAATGAGTTTCTACTTACTATTTCATTAGATTTTACTTACTACTCAATTAAATTTCACTCACTACTCAAGTAGTAAGTAAAAACTCATTAAATAGTAAATACAGTCTAGTGAACTAGTAAGTGGAAGCTTATTGAGTAGTAACTGAATTGTAATGAAGTAATAAGTGGAAGCACATTGGGTAGTTAGTGGGATCTAGTGAAGTAGTAAGTGAAAAATCATTAAGTAGTAAATAAAGTCTACTGAAGTAATAAGTAGAAGGTCATTGAGTAGTAAATAGAGTTTACTGAAGTAGTAAGTGAAATCAAAATTGAGTAGTAAGTGTATTCATTTATAACCATTAAAATATATTGACAAATGAGAGTTCTTTCTAAGCTATTTTATTTTCAATCTATGCTTTACAATATTTTAGATGTTAAAAAATATTAGGAAGAAAAAAAATATTTCATTATGAATATTAAATTGAAAAAACAAAATTATGAATTTATAAAAGTTTCTAAAAGATTTTTTGAGTTGTAGGTAAAAAAAAAAAAAAAGAGTAACTATTTTAAATTAATGTTTTTAAAAATAATTTTAAATAACTTATAATTCAAAAAGCATTTTGTTTATAATTTTTTTCTTTTTTATTTATTTTTAATATTATATCAAAAATTAATTTTTCAAAATAATGACTATTTAAAAATAATTAGTAAATTTTAACAAATTTTAATAAATTAATATTTAAATATCATATTTTAATTTTTACAAATCATAACAAGACAAAATATGGAGGGAAAATAGTTAAATATCAATAGTTTTAGGGAAAATCGGTTTAAGGTCCCTATTTAACTCTTAGTAATGGATTAGGTCCACAATATGTTCTTTTGTTATTTATTTTTAATATTATATCAAAAATTAATTTTTCAAAATAATGACTATTTTAAAATAATTAGTAAATTTTAACAAATTTTAATAAATTAATATTTAAATATCATATTTTAATTTTTACAAATCATAACAAGACAAAATATGGAGGGAAAATAGTTAAAACCCCATAGTTTTATATATTTAAAATTAATTTAAAATGCAAAAAATGAAACAATTTAAAAAAAAAAATGAAAGTGACCTATTTAGCAGGTAATATTTTGAATAATAAACTTATTCATAATAAATAGTAAGTGAGTAAATAGCAAACAGTAAGTATGTTTGCAATAAATGATAAGTCAACATCATTTTTTTAATTTTAAAATTAACTAAAACTACTCTAATTTTTAGAAAATCACCTTACTTTTTCTACTTAATTTTACTATCCACTTATCCACTGGTTAGCATTCATCCTATCCAAATCTAATGGTTCATATCTTTTTATGTCCGATACATGAAAACCACTTTCATGTATGGTAGAATTTTCCCTTACGCCCATGAAAGGAACGGATAATCTGGCATCATGCTGCTGCCATTTCTAGGAAGTCCCTCACGCCCATGAAAGGAAGGGGGTAATCTAATACATGGCGCTGCTGCCATTTCTAGGATTGACTGGCATCTCACCTGCACAGGTTCCTTCATAGTGTAGTTTTGGTTGTAAATTCAACTTGGTTTCAGGCTCGTGTGCCTTCCAGAACTGAGGGGGTCTTTGCGCCAGCCTCATGAAAATCAGCAGCAAAGCACCCCATGCCATACCAGTTTTGTTAAAATAGACAGGACAGTAAAATCATATTCACCAGTTTATTCCATAAGTGCATTAACTAGTGAGAGAAAAAATATAACTGAATATGCGCTCATATATGTAGCTATTATTTGCACTGATACGGATTGTCTGATATGTGACCTTACAGAAACACAAAATGATTTACAGAATAGTACAAAGTCATACAAACTCTAAGTCCCATGTATGCCAACTTTAATCCTTATAAACAGTGGTCAAATAACTTACTACATCAAAAATAAGAGAAATAACAATAAAAAGAGAATAGAAAGTGAAGCACACAAAATGACTGATAAACCACACGAGCTTACACCAAGAAAATTTGCAGTCACTAGGAAGAAAATGTGGTTTTCCATAAAGAGAGATTATATAAACCGCCTTTTAAAGTTCCGGGTAGTAGATTGGTAGGTACGGACAAAGAGACCGACTCCTATTCCAATTCCAAGGCAAACACCAAGGCCTATCCCAACACCTACCCTTACACCAGCATTGAACCAAGAGAGTTCACCATCTTCACCTTCCATATATTCTGTCCTCCAGTACATGTTGTTGTAGTCTTCTTCACTTTCTGGTTTGTAGTTTCTGTATTCTGCCACCTGCAGAGTCAACAATGGAAATTTCATGTAGAGTAGGCATGAAAAATACAATGTTTATGAATCAAGGATCAAAATTTCAAGGCACAATGAAATGCAAAGGGCCTTTTTGGATTTAGAAGGGGGAAGGAGACCCTGGGATCAACCCTGGATCAATGAGCTGGCTCTACCAGTGCTTTGCCAATGCACCATTGCCACATGCTCTTTCAATACCAATTGGACCCTGATATAACGGAGCTAGATAATGGTGATATTATTCATCCGTTGATCAAGAAAGCTTTCATTTTTTTTAAATGAACAATTTGAAATCCTATTGATTCTAACAACTTTCGACCAAATCTGAATCTTTTCTTGTTTTGTAGATCTTGTTATACATCTATCATAGCCTCCTCTAACATTCTTGACTGATTGTTTTACATCTTGACAAATGACATTACCTCCGCATATCAGACATTGACAAGAAGCTAATGTACACCTTAACAGAAAGCAAAATCCAATCAAGCAAATGACATCTAGTATGGTGTGCCAGCAGGGTATTGGGATTTACCAACTAATAGATTAAGTTTTAAACATGCATGAGAAAAAATTACAATGATTGAGTTATTTTTATCATATAATCATTATTTATGACTTCACAAAATCAAAACTTTCCATGACGGTTCCCAAAAACGCCTCAATATTTTCTCTTCATGCTAGTTTCTAGCCAAGAACTTATCCCACAAAACACACAAAAAAACTGACCTTTTAATAGCCAACTACCGCTCCTATTGGTCCGAGAGTACCGAATAATTACTGAAAAATGCTCTACAAAAGGTTTACAAAGAGAAAATGGACCCCACAACAAATGGCTGTGGTGATGAGAGTGGATGATGCATGTCAGCTTTTGGCAGAATATGGATAATGCAACAGAAAACAAAAAGGGATAATCAAGTCTTAGTTAATCCCTTTAAAAACATGTGCCCTTCCCATACCCCAGCCATGACATATCTATCTAGGATAAGATTCTGTTTGCCAATCCAAGAACCAAGTAAAGTCCTCACAGAAAAAGAGCTTTTTTGTAACTAGAAACATGTTTGAAGAGAGGAAGCATTCGAGCAAGCATCCATAACAAGAGGGCATGGTTCCCATGAGGAGCGCCCATTTTCTTGCACTTTGAGCTACTTTTTTTTCTTCTTTTGTTGTTGGTGTGTGTGTGTGTGTGCAGGAATTGCGAAACTCCTAACCAGGATCAGTGAGACATGAAAAACAAAGAAGAACAAATAAACAAGAAATGTAAATCACGCGCACCCACAATAACACAAGATTTAAGCGATTCATCTCGAAACTAGAATTATGGACCAAGCGATATAGTTACAGAGATGACCTTCTCCTCAACTACAAATAAATATAATTCGGAAGGGCTAGAAGTCAACAAGTGCATAAATATCAAAATACCTAACTCCGAAATTCCGTTGAATGGTTACGGGAAAAGCCTAGAATCTGCAGTCTAGTGGTTTATATATAGTACTTATCAGACTCAAACTACCACCAACAAGCTACTCTTCAATCAACATTGTTGTAGCATGAATATTGAAACAAATGACAGGAAACTTAGCCCACCATAGTGACTTTAGCTACAAAGATGTTTAACATGGAATCAAGTGCTCTTGAATGTTGTAGCATGAATATTGAAACAAACAACAGGAAACTTAGCCCACCATGGTGACTTTAGCTACAAAGACGTTTACATGGAATCAAGTGCTCTTAAATGTGCAAGCAATAACATGGTCAAAGAAAACTGATGAGGGGTGGATGTGATTATAGGCAATTGGGAATAACTAACGAGTCTAGATATAAATATTTGGCAGCAAAAATGAGATAATAGCATCAATGTAGCACTCAAACTGTGGAGGAATGCTATCCAGATCTCAGAAAAATAAAGAGAACCTCAAAAAATTGTAGTTTCAGAAAAATTTCGCAATATGTATTACCTGCAGATCAAGTCCATGGGTGACATTTTTCGGGGATTCGGCTGTCTCATACTCCGGGATTGAATCCAGCATCCCCTTCCTATTCTGTTTTCTCCAGAAACCAAGTTGCAAAGTCTTGGTTAGGATAATTGGTCTTCCTGAGAAACAACCGGCAACATAGACTTCAATAGTAGGCGACAACGACTCAGAACCCACAATTTGTTTTCCCTTCAAGAATCCACTCGTCGCAGTCATCATTGATTCACAATTCATGTTCCATCCTTGTCTGCTCTTTGAGTCACCATTAAAACCATTGGTATTTGACATCTCCAAAACCCCATATAACACCGGCTCTTCTTTATCGAAAACCTCAAATTTCACACTCCCTGCAAACCTTATACTATCAGTGCTCACGAATGTGGCTTCCTCGGATTTTTTATCCACTCTGTCTCTCCGAAGAGAAGATGAGATTCCTTCTGAGTTAATGCCACATCGCACGCCATTCACTTCAAGGACAGTATCGAGGCTTAGAGGGATGTGATTCAGAGTGAGACACTCAGGGGTCGAATCATCGACCAAGAAATTGCTGATTCTAACATAGAAAACTCTCAATTGAAACCACGGCGATGATAATTTGCTGCAGGGTTGGTACAAAGGGTGCCTAATGATCTGGAGCCGGGGATCAGATGTCTTGTTTTCGCTCAATGTTTCGTAAGAATTTTTCATTTTTCAGGACCTCAATCCATGTAATTGTGAAGCAGACAAGGAGAGAAACCCTGATCCAGAACCAAGAGGTCATTGTTGGATTTTAGAAAATGATAAACAGTGAACTGTGTAAATTTCAGAATTAAGGCAACAAATAGTGAATGAAATCAACTAGATAGGAGAACCCAGAAACCCTTTGTGATCAAATACGTGAGTCTGTGATCATATCTACTACATCAACAAAATCCAACAGTATTGGGGTTGCAACTTGCCAGGTAAGAAAGAAACCCTAATTGTAGGAACTGAAATCCTTGATATAACGAAAAGAGAGAAGAAAAATTCATAACTGAAAAGGGTATATGTACATAACCGTACTTAGGGAGATTAAAACCCTAAAATAGAACAGAAAGAGAGAGGATAATACTGTGAAGATATATAATTCAAATCTTTGGAAGCTACAAAACAAGAACCAAAGATCTTTACACTTAATACCATCTAAGAAAAATTAATACCCATAATAAAATTCCAAGCCAAAAAATAAAAAATCCTTGTGTGAGATTGAGATCATGAAAATGAATATCACACCAAATACAAGAAATAAACAAACACTAAGCATATAGTGAAACTTTTGATATGTGATATTTAAGAACCCACCAGCTCTCTCTAGATCCAAAGCTAATCAGAGGAAGAGAGTCCTTTATTTATTTATTTATTTTTGCAATTCCAAATTGAGCAAAAAGTAGATTGAGCTGAGCTTAATACCCTGCAAGTCTCTCTGCTCTTGAGAGAAAGAGAGCTTTAGAGAGAGAAAAATCAGAATAAACCTGCCGGCAATTAAGAATAAAACAAGTATCATAGAACCTAGAACCAGCCAAAAATTTCCCCTCTCTCTCTCTCTCTCTCTCTCTCTCTAGAATTTAGAAAAAAACAGAGCCACAAAGCATAAAGCATAAAATAGCATAAAAGACTTGCCAAGAAAATCTTCCATCCACAAGCTGGCTCTGTCCTTTACCTTTTGTAGTATATACTTATATATCTCTATTGATTAAAAACCTCCAATGGATCAAATCCAAGCTGCGATTGGTACTCTCTCTCTTTCGAATCGCTTTCAAGCTCCAAGCTGAGAGGTTTTGATCTCCTCTCTCCTTCCCAATTTTTGTGGCCCAAATCGCAATAGTGAAAAAAACAGAGCAACCCAACTAACTCTTCAAATCACTTTCTCAGATCAAAACTTGGATGTACTTTCTCACTCTAAAGCAATCTGGTTCGAGAAATCCAAAGGTGGACGAAATGGGGAAACTTTTTATACTCTGCCTCAAAAAAAATCTTTAAATTCTATGATGTTTTTTTTATTGATTCATATGATGGGTTTTTTGAATAGTTTAATGACTAGGTACATATCTCAAATACTAGAAATTGACCATGTTCGGATCATATGATCTTATCCAAATTTCTATGAAAATTCATACCCATGAGGGTCGGTATTTGGGTTGGTCTTGAAAAGGATGGCCCAGAAGCCAGGATGGAGGGAAAGGAGAAGCATCCAACGGCTCTAAACACATGGTGGCATGGCCGTTGTGGACTTGAGTACTTAAGTGATGATTGGGAGAGGTCTAGCCATGCGAGTTATTACACGTGTCCATGTATAGATTGCTTCTGTCCATCTACGGCTGCAACAGCCTAGCCGAACTTTAATATGTTTTCGCTTGTCTATTAAGATTTTAACGAATTCGAATTCGAGTTTGAATTCAAACTAAATAAAAAATTAACGAGCCGAGTTCGAGTCGAGTTGGCTTAGGCTCGACTCGAGGTCGAGCCTGTTCACGAGCCTTAACGAGCTAAAAAAATTATAAATTCATACATACATGTGAGACTAAAGTTACAATTAAAACTTTGATTATACAATTATATGTACAATATATATAAACATATTAAAAAAAAGTCCATATTTTACTAAAATAATAATATCTACTATCACTATTATGTAAATGTACTATCTATAGTTAACTATTATTTACATTTATATTTTTTAAATCTATAAATAGCATATTTCTCTTATTTTTTATATATATTTTTATATTATTTAATATATAAATAATAAATATTAAACGAGCCGAGCTTTAGAATGTTTGAACTTGTTTATTAAAAATTTAATGAGCTCGAGCTCGAGTTCGAACGCAGAAAAAATTTAACGAATCAAATTCAAACGAGCTCTTACCGAACCGAACTCAAGTCTGTTCATAAACGGCTCTGTTTATTTACAGCCCTATATCCATTGAAACAAAGTGTTTTTTTTGAACCAATCTAAACAAAGTGTTTGGGAAATCTATTTTCATACGCTACTTAGTTCAGTATACATTACTTATTAATATATATACTTATAAATTTAATTAGAAATTATTTATTTCATTCCACGTATCTCATATTTCAACTATAACCATTAACTCAAATATTATGGCCAAGTTTGACTATCCTAAATAAGTACACATTTTTTATCTTTTTATCTTTTTTTCATCACATCATCTCTTTATTTTTCTGCACATCTTTTCGTAAAAAGACAAAAAATATAATTATTTAGATCATCCCAAATAACCCCTATATATACGCTTTCTATCCAAACACTCACACCCACACAACCACCAAAAATCGACAATTAGCTTTCCCACCCCTCTAGTCCTCTTCTTCGACTTGAATCATAACTCGTTTCCAAATAAGTAATTCTCTTTTCCAAACCTTTGTATGCAATTATCAAATCCTTAAGTGCCGTTTGATAATACTTATATTTTCAAATTTTAATTTATATTTATGAAAATTTAAAAAATTCAAATAAAAATTTGTTTGGTAAATTTTTGATTTATAAATCAGTGGTCTCAGTTTATAAATTTGACCAAAAAATATAAACTAAAAAAATGTGTTTCCGTTTTAAGTTTTGAGTTTTTTTTTTTTTTACCACCCAACACTAGCCACCACCCGCCACCATTTTCCACCATCGTCTTCGCCACCACCACCCCACCCTCCACTACCACTTACCCCACCACTCCCCACCATCTGCCCTACCACCACCCCAGCCACACACCCACACTTGCCAACCACCGCCCACCCCCCCCCAACCACCACCACCTCACAGCCTACCATCCACCCACCTACCTACCAAGCCACTCACCCGCCGCCGTCACTACCACCACCACCACCACCACCATCACCACCACCACCCACGCTGCTACCCACCTGCCGAACTACCTACCGCTGCCACTACCATCCATCCGTCTACTACCACCCCACCTGCCACTACCATCCATCCGTCCCATCACCACCACACTACCACTCAATCACCACACCACCACCACCACCACCACACGCAACCACCCCCGCCACGACCAACCCACCTTGCCCACACCACCCGCCACGGTCTACCCACACCAACCACTACTACCACTACCACTACCACCACTAGCCACCCGCCACCACCCGCTACCACCCGCTATACACCACCCACCTGCCACCACCACCGCTTTCCACCACCGTCTTCCGCCGCCACCGCCCGCCACTTGCCACCACTTTCCACCACTGTCTTCCGTCACTACCACCCACCCACCCGCCGCTTGCCACCACTTTCTACCACCGTCTTCTACCACCATCACCCACCACCTGCCACCATTTTTCACCATTGTCTTCCGCCACCACCACCCGCCATCATTTTCCACCACCGTCTTCTGCCGCAACCATTCATCACCACCCGCCACCACTTGCCATTTCTCACTCTTTTTTGTATTTTTAAATTTTTTTAAACATTTTGTCTAAACCAAACGCGCTTGTAGTTTATATTTTTCTAAAAATAAATAAAAATAAACAAAAATCAGTTTATAAAAAATTTGTAAATATAAACTGAAAACGTAAACGTTACCAAACAGGCCCTTAGGGTGTGTTTGGTTTATGTTTTGAGATTAATTTTAAAAAAAAAATTAGGGAGAGTTTAAAATTTTTTTTTGTTTGTTTGGTTGTATATTTTGAAAATAATTTTAGAGTTTGGGATGATTTGATATTTTATTGTAATTGAGTAAATGTGTATTAGAGAAAAAGTGATTGAGAATGAGAGAGGAAAGAGAAAAAATGATTGATTGATGTATAGGAGAAATAAAATAATTTAAAAAAAAAATAAAAATTTGAACCAAAATTTTTTTTGAAAATTTTCTCAAAAATTATAACTGAAGATACAAACCAAACAATGTCCCATTATTGGTCTATCAAATTCATCAATTTTCACCATCACTCCCTTTCTTTTCCAAATTCAAATTGGTAGCAGAATTACGCACTGAGGATTCAGATTTGTCATTCCAAAACAATCCCTAATGCTGTGTTTGGTTGGAGGATTTGGAGATGGATTTGGAAAGGGAAAGGGAAAAGGTGTGTGAAACTAGGTGAAATGTAGGTACATTTTATTCACATTTCACCTAACTTTTTCCTTTCCCTTTTCAAATCCCTCCTCAAATCCTCCAACCAAACACAGCGTAAGAGCTCCTTGTAAACATTGAAGTAAAGATTATTTAAGCAAAAAAACACCAGCATCAGGACCATTGAACCTATCGTAAATCCCAACAAATACCTTCTTCGGAGATCACAATGTGAACTCGATCCTCGCCAACTTTTCCTTGTGCCCACTGGACATCCATATTCTTGGCTCACCGAATTCAAAGTTTCATAGCCATGGAGGAGTCGTTGGAGAGAAAGAAGAGAACCTCTTAGGAAAAAAGATGAGATGGATTGGTTGGGGATTTGATGGCTATTATAGTCATTTTATTTTAAGGTATAATTGTTATTAAAGAGTGCTGCTACTAGTCCCCATGGATTATTTTTTAGTTATTATTATTATTATTATTATTATTATAATCTCAAATAAAATTACTAAAAAAAATATCGTTAATTTTGGGACATCGTATCTCATAATTAAATTCACACACCACTACATCATGAATTAAGATTTATAAGAGCACCCACCTTCATCACCACCCATCCATCTTCCCCAAATCTCACATTCAAAACTTACCCACCCTTAAAACCTTAAAAATCCTTTAGCGGCAATATTTCCTTCATTCCGGATTTCTTCCAGGAGGTTAACAGACTGTCGAGTTTGTATGGTAATGACATTCTTATAGAATGTAACGTTGTCGCCTTCAATTCTAACACCACCATACATAGATCGTATGAAAAGGGAAATATAAAGAAGAAGAAAAAGAACTTCTTCAAAAGGAAGCAGAAGCAGCAGAAGAGCACTTACATGCAGCAGAAGCAGCAGAAGAGCACTTACATGCAGCAGAAGCAGCAGAAGAGCCTTTGTATGTGGTGGCCTTGCGAAGTCCATACTTCTTCTTCTCAGTTTCTTTATAATATCCTGGAATGGGAATTTCTTTGCAGAAATCCAAATTTCTAAGGCTCTTCTGGAAAGCAACTACCTGTGTTGTTGATTCAGATTCAGTACCAGAAGATGCTTTGAAAACTCTGCTTCATTGCTGGTGTAATATGCTTCATAGGTTTATCATCAATGATGAAATCAGAATTTTTCAGGTCCAATTTGCAGGTTATTTGATTTTTCATCCATAACTTCATAGGATCTTCTCCTATTATACCATAGTCCAGTCAGGTACATACATTGATCCTATAACCAAGGAAGAAAAACGAGGGAAAGAAAGGATTTCAATAAACATGATTTTGTTGCGGACCTCTGTGAAACCTTGCATAGCTACATGAATCTTCGTAATAGATTCCCAACGCATGAACACATCATCAAATTTTCCAAGAGGATGTGGGATTACAAAGATTGCACCCGTTTGATGCATTGCAGATGGCAAGTTCCACCATTCATTCTTCGGATCTCTTCGAAAGTTAGAGAATCTGGGTACTCCATTCCCGTAGGCAGGTCTTTGAGGAATAGGAATAGCAGTATGTCCAGTAGCCGGTGGATAGCCTGGGGGACCCATCATTGCATCCTGAGGGGGCTGGTAGTTGGAAATAGCAGTTGAAGAGGAAGAAAGAAGATACTCTGGGTTCCTCTTTTTAGAATGTTTTTCAATTAGTTGTTCCAACTTCCGAATTTGCGGATACTCAGTTTCCATCTCTTGTTCTTCCAACATTGCAAGTGTATTACTGGACTGGGTAAGGTTAGGATCAGAATCCCAATCCTGCTGCTCCGAAGCAGCTTCCTTTCCAGTACTTCCAAAACCTGGATGCTGTTTACTTCGCATGTCTCGAAGGTTAAGAGCATCTTTGAGAACCATTCGTGGATACGCAACTTCCTCAAAAATTATTTGGGCAATTCTATCACCAGGTTGAACAATAAAAGGTTCACTCTTATCATGGTTAAACAAGAGAACCTTAACTTCGTCTCTGTAATCT